GCTCAGGAGCCACCACTCTGGGAGTGTCTGGTGTCACCTGGTCAAAGCAGGGGCTACTTCGTCACCCATCCTCTCTGGGTACCGGCTGCCTGGGGCAGTAGGTATGGACTGCTTCCTCAGAGCTGGATGCGGCTGTCTCCTTCCTATCCTGTGTTAGGCATTGCTTATTCGGAGGGACACATCCAGAGTCATCTGCAAGGAGTAAGGGGGCACCAGGGGCATGTGGATGCCCAAGAGGAACAGGCACTCGCCCTGTCTGCATTAGCAGGATGGGGGTAGAGGTTCAGAGTGGCTCATCCGTGATGGGGGTGAGCCGTCTGGAACGCTTCCTTACCCTCACTGAGAGGGAGGTGCGTGGGAACAGCACCAACGCTTCCCTCTGAAACCATCCAAACCAGCCAGGCACAGCCCCAGGCATTCACCCTGCAAAACTCCAGGAAAACCAGCCAAGAGGTCTGCTTTCTCCCTCCCTGCTGTGAGATGCACTTCATTGCCTCCCACGCTAACAGCCTGTTGCCCTCGGGCTGGGGTCTGCCTGTCTGACCCCTGGTACCTTTATGGCAACAAAATATATTTGCATACGTTTTAGACCTGCTGACATCGTTCCCTCTGGAGAGCTTCAGATTTTTATAGCAACCACGGTAATGATTTTCAGATTATAGACTAATAAAATATTTTAATTTGTTAGGAACATTAGGGTGGGCACTGTATGATTCTTATGACATTTAAATAGTGCTTAAAAAAAAAGGAGGGGGCTTTCTGAGTGCATTTATTTTCCAAACAGGAGCACTGAAATAGAAAGTCAAAATCCCACACGCTGGTACCAAGATCAGCTCTGACACCTCCCCTCTGTGTCTGTTTCACTTGAATACCTGCCAAGTTAAATAAGCAAATATGGGATTGCGGCATCCTAGTTGCAAACCTGGTTTTGGCAAGTGAGCCCTCCTCCTTAGTCACTCTGGTTATGCTGCACGGCAGTGACCCGATCCAAGCGTGTACAACTCCGTGTGCCATTGCCCGCTATGGGCTGGGTCACAACTAATGGATAACACAGAATTTTTGCACCTCAGCCTACACTCACCTATTTCTCCCCTCCTCTCATTCATTGTGCTCTCTGGTTAACTAACCAGACAAGACTGTAAAGCAAGCAAGTCATGGATCTAGAGCATCCCGTCGTTTCTATGGCATGCTGTGTGCCACAAGGCAGATTGCTGCACCAGTCCCTTTCCTCTGACTGGGTAGCAATTGCACAGTTTGGAGTGAATAAGACTGCACTGAATAAAGCAGGGGCATGTTGGAGGAGGAAAGTTGCCCTTGCAGCTCTATGGGTTGATATGGCCGATAGCTCTGTGCTTCATTTCCTAACCTGTAAATTGCAGCAATGCAACTCACTGACTTCTCAAAGATGCTGTGCAGGTAATGGCTTGTACAGTAAAGCGATAAAAGGCATGGAAAAGCCTGCCAAGAAAGGGAAAAATAGTCAAAAAATAGCTCAGAAAAATAGCTCAGCATTAGTTATACCTGGCAAAAGAGACAGAGGGTTACACAATTAATATCACGGAGAAGAATAGCAAAGAAGTTCCTTTGTTCTGTGAGTACTTTTGCCTTGTACCTCAACTGGATCATACAAGATTAACGGCAGATGATTATGTAAAGTCTGTACTACAAGGCAGAGGTAAGTGTGAGTTCGGGCTCCCCATTATCATTACCTGACCTTGCATGTTCCCTTTTGCAACCTCAGCATTTTTTTGTGGATAGGATTTCTGGGTGGTTATTTTAAGAAAACTGTGTTAAATTTCTTGCTTCTGTGCCAGGTACCTGCTGTTTAACAAGCGGGCCATGACTAAGCATAGACTGGAAATTAAAAGCATCTACAAGTTCAAGCAATGAGATTCTGGGACCGTCTTCCCTTAGGAACACATTTAATAGTGGTACTTGATTATGAAAAGGATAAATCTGATGTGATTGATGCAACAGGGGATTGGATATGATAATCCAGGGAATCCCTTCCAGCCCTCTCTACTCCTAATGAATTTATTTTTTAAGGGCAGGGGGGAATGCAGCACTCAACTGATGGTAAACAATGGTGAAGCGTGTAGGTACCTGCTGATGGTTAGTGGGGCTCTGTCCCCAGATTTAACCACTTCCCATCACCAAGAAAGTAGAGCAGGTCTCTCTCCTGGTTCTGCCCATCTTGAACATATCAAGCAGAGGTGGGCGCAAGCAGAGGTGGGCGCAAGGATCCTACCTGCTTCCCTCTTTGCATTTTCCAACTACCGAGGACTTCCAAAATTCACTGTCCTTGAACCAGCACCACAAATCTCTCAGCTCACAGGTTTCCTATGTATTCCTAAGGTACTTCACCTGTCTCCCAACACCGTAATGACTGTGTCCCTTGCAATCTTTTTTCCATATGAATCTCCTTAGTGAAGATGAGCAGATACCACTTTTTAACTATGGGAAACTGAGGCACAGAAGGACTAACTGAATTTCCTAAGGCAGCAGAGGACATCGGTAGCATGGGAGGGACCTGTAACCCAGTCCAAGGCTGGGATCTCACTGCTGGACTCTTCCTCTCCATGCACCTAACTGCGCTCTCCCTTTCACAACAGGAATAGCAGAACAGAAAGTATTTTTCAGCCCAGGCATTCACTGATCTGGGATTCCTGTCCTCTGTCAACCCAAGAGGGCTGAGCTTGGGGCTTCTGAGGGCACAGTGCAAGGTTGTTTCAGAAGGGATGCACAGGGAAAGCGCTTATGTTCCTTTTTCCCCTGAGTAGTTTTAATTCTTTAATTCCTACTTGCTAATAAGATAAAAGGCTGTGATTTCTGCAGGATCAAATGGTGCAGGATAAGCTAAGGGAGTTTATTAATTAGCATGCTTTCAGGGCTGGGAAAAAAATAATAAAAAGAAGCAACAGGGTTGTAGATGATAGCTATAAATATGACCCAAGCATTACCTGCCATGACATTTTAGCCAAGGGGAGGCTGTCATGTTAGTGCTGGGCATGGCACTCTGATAGTGAATAGAAATAAAAAATGAGAGGGCAAGGCTTTCTTTCTCCAAAATGTGACTATTCACAGACACGTGCTACACTTCTCCAGGGCCTGATCCTGCAAATAATACCAAGTACAGCACTTCTGTGTGTGAGTGCTCCTCTGGCTTCCCCAGGGATTGCTTGGAGCAATGAGTGCTAAGCTCAGTGGTAAGCGATTGCAGGATCAGATTCAGAGAGTGCCAAGCATTTTGGATGAAAAGAGCTATAAAGAAGTCACATATTATTATGTCACATTGCAAAGGTCAACCTCAGTATTTGTTCTGTCATAAGGACATGATTGAAAGGCAAAAAAATAGTGTCAGGGCACAGGGGAAAATAATTTTTTAAAAACTGCCTTCAGGGCTGAGGATACAAAATTACATCAGTGCTTAGAACTAAATTCCCATCCACACCCCACAATTCAATTTTGGCTCAGAAAGGCATAAACGCAACAAAATCACCTTTCGGTGGCATGTCTTCTTATCCGCTGACATATCCCCTGTAAAATCAGTGGTATCTAAACTTACACTCCCATGTGATTCTAGCAACAGTTCGGAAATGCCAGAGTCCTGCTCCATCATGGATCCCGGGAGGGCTTTGCGAGATCCACTCAGCTGCTTAACACCACGTAGGCATTCGTTTAATCCCCATTGCTTCTGTGGCAGAAGGAGTGGTGGTGAGACTGGGAGAAGGCTGGGCAGTGGGACAGCTAGTCCTTCATCAGCTGGCAAGGAGCATACACCTCCCCTAGCAATGTCACAGGGAGGTTTGGGTAATTGGACCCTAGTAATTTGTCCCAGTCATGACTACATTGCAAATATTTATGCCCATCTCTCTGGGCTTGCTAGCACAGGGGAGCTATTGAGAGGCAAGGTGTGGAAGCCATCACTTTCCTGCCTTAACTTATGAGGGGTAATAACTGCTCTGCACAGACAGTGTCTTTGGGTGGATTGGCTTGATCCGTTTCCAAAACAGACTTAAGCAAAGCCTTCCCAACTTTCTGGATCAACAGAGCACTTCCTTGTGTGCCAGCAGCAAAATCCCACAGGACGCTCAAGTTCAACATTTGCCCCTCTCACAGGCTTCTGCAGCATGCCTCCAGCAGCCTTGCAGCTTGCTGGTGGTGGCTTCTGCAATGCTGTGACAGCTGGGGACCCACCAGGCTAAGTATCCCTACACAGAGGCTCCAGCATGCAGTGAGCACAAGGGGATGGTGGCTCGCCTCTGTGGGAGGGAAGGCACAGTGAAGAGAGGTGTTACCAGCCCTCAGCTGGCTCGCAGGGCTCCCATCAGCCATCACCTTGGCAAACTCAAACTTCTTTGCACTGCCAGAGCATCAAACTCACACCAGTCCCTCGCTGCCGCTGCTCCGGGCAAGGGATGGGAGGAGCAGTGGGGCAGTGACGGTTGACATCCACTCAATTGCAGCTGCAAGTGCCCAACCAGTCAGACACCGAGGCTGTGTCTGTACTAGCAGACAGAAGGCGTCAGGGCTGGCATGTGATGGTCCAGCTGTTCAAATAGTCTGGTTTTACTCCATGTCAATTTGACAGCAACCAAACAGCTGTTGAGATGACAACACAAGTCAGGGACAGTCCCTGGTGAGCAGGGCAAATGCCACCCTGCTTTAGCTGCACGGAGACAAACCACGCTGCACTCGCTGCCATCAGAGCCAGAGGATGGCCCACGCTGTCCACTAGTGCAGACACAGCCTGAACATCCACAGAGGAAGATTGCACTGAGGACTTGTACATTCATCCCATATTATCTCACCATACAGACAAGCCCCAGAGAGCTGCTATAGTAGAAACGTGCAGTTCCCATCACACACGAGAGCCCCTTCGCTGCCAAACACACTAGACCCGACCTAGTCCCAAAGCCGCTCAACCCCATGTGTCATTTCATGCTCAAGCAGCACCAGTCCCCCGCTTCCAGCTGCCCCAGGGGTCGAGATCCACTCACTGTTGCAGCTGCCGGCGGTGCCAGTCTCTGTCGCTGCCACGCTGCGCTGAACTGGCCCTTCGGACGCGGCCCTTCCTGACAGTGAATGGGTGAAAACAAGAGAAGGAGACAAACAGAAGAGAAGGGAAGGGTGAGAGAGGGAGGGAGGGATGGGGGGGGGATGAAGCAAGGGGACAAGAAGGGAAAGGGTATGTCTTTAACTGAACCGTATGTCTTTCACTGGCTGCAACACCCCAACACTGCACAACCCTTGCTGCGAGGGCACGGGACAGGTGAGACCCTCTGGCCCTGATCACCACCACATTGCACCCCAGACCACCACCTGTGCCAGTGTGGAGAGAGAGGGAGCTGGGCAAGGGTCAAGGGGGGGCTCAGCCTCCTGAAACTTCTCATTGGACTGTGAAGTCACATCCCTTGTGGGACCCAAAGTCCCTCTCCAGACAGGAGAATTTTAGGAGGCTTGAGCGGTTCCTCTGTATCTGGTACACAAGTACCCTGCTCCTTGCCCATCAGCAGCACTCCTGGGCACAGTGCAGGGACTCATCTGCCTCTGCCAGCAGAACAAGACCCAGGCCTGAGGTCTTTACTCAAGCAAGCTCAGGTTAGCCAGAGTTAAGAGCATCATTGGCCAAATGTCCCAGTGAAACAGCTGGTACATCACCCTACGCTTCCCCAAAAGCCTTTGTCCCATCAGTAGTGTCGCAGGTTGGAGGAGGAAGAAAAAAAACCTCATCCCACAGCTTCCCATCACCCGCAAACCTGCCAGCGCTTCCAAAACTGAACCTTGGGAGGGGACAAGGGAAGCAAAATGATGGAGCACAAAATACAGCACTACTTTTTCCCATGTATCAGAGTAGGAAAGATTTGGGGAATGGGAGGGAGGAGAAGGGGGTAGGGTTCTCAGTGTGCAAATTAAGAGGGAATGACAAGCATAAGGTCTGCTGGCTTTCTAGTATGGTGTTTGTGTTCCCACTGGGCCAAAAAGGAGACAAAATCCCAAGATGAAAGGGCAGTTGGTGAGCACGGTGGTTGGGGAGGAGACTTTGGCTGTGCTGCTTAGGAGCTCAGGCTGACAGCTGCCTGGGGAATATCAAAAATACGGCCTCGGGGTGTGTCCAGCTAGTCCTTACCCTGGGCGCCTTCCCACCCTGCACCAGAGCTGAAAATTGAGCTGCTAAATGTAGCCGACAGCTCATTCTGCTTGGGGAATTGCCCTGCGAATGACTGACTTGCCTCCCTTCCCAAAAAGTTGAGGTAGGAAATGGGTGGGGGAAAGGCTTAGAAAATTGTTTCATGATGGTTGTTTAAATTGCCTCTGCATTACAATGTTACAGTTAGGGAAAAAGGAAAGAGAGATGTATTGCATCAAGCCACATCCTAAAGCCAGCTGTGGCAGAGGTATGGACATTGGAAAGAAGCAGAGCAAATGAAGTCATCCAGCAGTGGAAAAAAAACATCAATATAATAAAGTGCAGAACAAAGCAAATTCTACCTCAAACACAGAGCTGAAAGAGAAACATCTTCCTCTGTCAGATCTATTACCATGCATTTATTCCAATAACAAATAACTAACCGAAAGAGTAACCCAAACCTGATTTATTCCTCCATCTAAGTAAATATGAAGAGGCAGCTGAATCTGACTGTAAAAACCACTGATCTCATATGTTTTCCTTGTATGTATTGGAAAAAATAGGAGTGGAGTTTCTGCCTTGCTGCCAGGGGATGCTGGCAAAGCATTTGAGCTATAGATATTGTATCTTGTCACTAATGACTGCAGGGAACTAAAAGGGATTTGGATTTTTTTAATGCTTCACATTAATTGATAATTTGGTCCCAGAATCCACAGTGGAACACAGGATTTGCTATACTGGATCAGTCTAGTGGCCCATAAAATCTGGCGTCTTGCCTCAGTGATGCTCAGAAAAATCATCATCCAGTGTCTTTGCTTATAAGGTTGCTGACCATTTCTGTAAGGCCATACGATTGAAAGAGACGAAAGGTCTTTCTGGCCTGCACAGCAAGCCTCTTTGAAACCCTGAAATGCAGTTTTGGCCAGGCTGTATTACATCTGGTTTGTTTTTTTTTTATCAGTGCAAGGAAGAAACTCTGTAACTACAAACATTTTCAACGGACATGCTGCTGTTTTCCCTCTTGCTCACCACAGCCCAAATCGTGAGAAGGTGAACTCGTGTTTTCAGAGGGCAAATGAGAACATGACTGAGGCCAGAGGCAGGGACATGCCTTGTACTGAGCAGAACAATATTGATTAGGCAGTGTAAAGATTTCCCTCACTAATTCCTTTAGCAATCTTATCATGTGTTGTCTGCATAATTGGATGGGAAAGAGAGAGGAGGAATCACTTAAGCGTTCAAAGCTCAACACACACCGAGAAAATATTCTTATTTTGTGTGTGTGTATGTGCAATTTTGTGCATCGTCGCCTCTTGATTGTACATAGAACATGCTCTCTTTGACAGCCTAGCCCTAAACAGCCTGTTTATTAAAGACAGCTGCTTGCAAATAGGGGCTTTCTCCATCCAGCTGGCATGGAGAAGGAGCTCGCTGCGGCTGTGAGAGGCAGGACTATGAAACGGGGGATCAAGAGAGGAAAGCCTGCAGAAACTCTGACCATGGAGGAATCAGGAGGAAAAAAGAAAGGCAATGGTTTCTTTCCATGCAAACATCTTAATTACAGAGAGTGATGAAGATATTTGCATCTTAATTTTACTAGGGAGATCTTCAGTTTGTCTTGAAGCGACGCATAGTTTATCCATGCTCCCACTAAACTGGCTTATAACTTCTCTGCCTTCAGCTCTTTTTCTGATCATACTGAGGTTTGGGGATGCTCCCCACCTTTCCCGACCTTTCACTACCACTCACCTGGGTCCAGCATTTGACTGGTTACTCCCATTACTCTCTCCAGCTTCCAGGAAAGCAGAGATCAGCCTGGATAGCTTTCAAGGGCAGCCAAAGTCCAGTCAGCTGGAACCCTGACCTCAGTCAGAGATGCACAGGGCAGAGTATGGAAACAGAAGAGCCGACAGCCTATGTCCCACAATATCCTCCAGTCCTCAATAATCAGCGGCACAGAGATTTTCTGAAATAGATGTATTTTGTGCCTGATAGCCCCTGATAGATTACCTTGCTTTTACAACTCTGTTCAATCGCTTTTTCAACCCATCTCAGCTGTTGGCATCTTCCACATCCTGAGACAAAGAGTCCCATCACTTTTCTACCCACTGTAGCATCTCCGTTGGATCTGAACCTGACGTGTACATCACCAGGTATTTTAGGTCAGGAAATACTGAACAACAAACAGTTCCTCCCTATTTGGCTACAACCATGACCTCTGCAAATGGAAGGTCAGGTGTTAAAAAACACCAGGAACCTAAACTGAAAGGCTCTGAACTCCCAGCTCTCTGGAGCTCAGTCCAATGGTTGGGTGAAAGCAAAAGCCTCAATTCAAATGCCTGGGAATGGGCTGAGCTTTGATTGAAAGATGATAAGTTTGATTAACTGTCAGTAAGTGTGTGAGGATTTAGGGGAAACATAGAGGGGTTAAGAATGGAGGTCAGTGTTTGGGTGAATATTGAGACTATATTGAACAAAAAGTCTGAGCCAAATGACTTGCAATGCAGCAGCAACATATTCCAAGCAGGAGAAGAGGTCAGTATGGAAGTCAAGTACCATAGCAGGGAGTTTTTAATTCCCCAAAACAAACTGCTCTTTTGTGTCTGTGCTTCAAAGAAGATGTCGCCAGATTGTGAGAGCTCTTCACCTGCCACATCCCTCTCATTACTGGAATGAAATAAATGGCAACAGCATGAAAACAGCAACTCAAGCAGGAGAAAGACAGGTAGACATTGAGGAAAAGGGGAGGGGGGGAAACAGGGTGCGAGTGGAGGTCTTGGCAGGGTGGAAAATTAGGGCAATTACCATTTCTGAGAAAATGCCAGGAATACAACACAACCTAATTTCCCCAATTAATTCTTCTGCACTTGAGCTGCTTTGTGTGAAGGGCTCTTAATGTTTCAAACAGGAGGAAGGGGGGAAAAAACTCAGAGTGAGTCAACATTTGTTTTTCCCTCAGTGTAGAAATGGGGAAGTGTTGAGGAAAAATATCTGTCTAAAACACAAGATGATGCTGTTACATCTTCCTTTCAGGAGATAAGGAACTGTGCCGCAAATTCAATTTGCAGAGGTTTTTATAAGAGCCACAGAGATATCAAAGACCAGCACGTTCAATACCACACTGACTTTTCCTGCACGCAGAACACACCAGGACAGGCACAGAGACACTTAACCCACGCACCCACATTGAGCCGTTCCTTCACCTCCCATTTCCAGCCCTACTGCAAGTTAAGGGGAAATTGGTTCTTTTGCCTGCGAACCACCAGTCAGGGCAGTTGTGAGGCACCATGGTATGAGCCATCCACACCTCCTGTGGCATACAGGTGTTGTTTAGGGGGAGCAACGGCAATGAAAACAAGGAAAGAAATAACAAATCAGGGATTGGGGTGATGGGACACATAGGGTAAACAAGATGCTGAGAAGGGCATGTAATATTTTCAACAGCAGACACGGGCTCCTGCACGTAGCAAGACTATGGCTCTGCTTGGCTGGCCCATCTGTATCAGTACTAGGGGTCTGCAGGTCACATCTTCAGGTCACTATGAGACTTTTTTGCCCTTACTTACATAGGTGTGAGAAAGCAAGTCATGTTCTTCAGGATCCCACTCAGTACAGGAGAAAATTAAAGTAGTTTTCCTTTCTAAGTCCTTTCCTATAGTGGAACATATATTTACAGATATGAAACCTTCCCAATACCCAAGCAGAAAGGATGGAGAGAGAGCAGCACATTATATTTTTCACCTCAAAGAAGGGGTAGAAGAGACAAAAGGTGATGCTCAGCTGCTTAGCATTTGCACAGCACTTAGGTGCTGGAAATGGTGCTGATGTTGAAAGCTGAACGTGGCACACACATTGTACTATCTACACAAGGTCCCACACAACAGTCAGCATGGCCAGGGACTGAGCTTGCTTTCCCCAACCCATCAGTGTCAAAGCAGAGCCCAA